TTACCCAGGCTGGAGTGCAATGGCACGATCTCGGCTCACCGCAACCTCCGCCTCCTGGGTTCAAGCAATTCTCTTGCCTCAGCCTCCCAAGTAGCTGGGACTACAGGCGCGCAGCACAACACCCAGCTAATTTTTGTATTTTTAGTAGAGACGGGGTTTCACCTTGTTGACTAAGATGGTCTCAATCTCTTGACCTCGTGATCCACCCGCCTCAGCCTCCCAAAGTGCTGGGATTATAGGCGTGAGCCACCGCGCCCAGCCCCTCAAGATTCTTAAAAATATCTTTTAAAAAAGTAAAATTAAATTTGGGAGGCCAAAGGCAGAGGGTCATTTGAGGCTAGGAGTTCCACACCACTCTGGGCAACATGTTGAGACCCCTGTCTCTACAAAATATACAAAAATTAGCCAGGCATGGTGGCTTGCACCTGTAGTCCTAGCTATTGGAGGGGAGGCAGGAGGATCCCTTGAGTCCAGGAGTTCAAGGCTGCAGTGAGCTGTGATTGTGCCACTGCACTCTAGCCTGGGTGACAGACGGAGACCCTGACTCAGAAAAAAAAAAAAAAAAAGAAATAAAAATTCTTATTACAGTGACATTGTAACAACATATAGTTGTTTTCACATGCTAAACATTTTGCAAAGCCAAATATAAATTGTTATTATTATTATTTGAAAAATATGTATGTGAAAAAAATGCCTCTGTTCTAAAAAACAAACAAGAAGGCACCACTGGTGACTGGCCACCAGAGACACCATGATTGCCAATCTGGATGTCACTGAAGGCCATGGAGACTGAGGTCCGAGCTGGCTGGACACCAGGGTGGCTGCATGCCTGGAGCCCCCGAGGTTTGATGCACCTGTCTTCCTAAGCATCTCTAGCTGTCTTTTTTGAGACCAAGCCTCACTCTGTTGCCCAGGCTGGAGCGCAGTGGCACAATCTCGGCTCACTGCAACCTACACCTCCTGAGTTCAAGCGATTCTCCTGCCTTAGCCTTCTGAGTGGGTGGGACTACAGGTGCCCACCACCACACCTGGCTACTTTTTGTATTTCTAGTAGAGATGGGGTCTCACCATGTTAGCGAGGCTGATCTCAAACTCCTGACAAGTGATCCACCCACCTCGGCCTCCCAAAGTGCTGGGATTACAAGTGTAAGCCACTGCGCCCAGCCTCTAGCTGCCTTTTAGGAGCCATGGGCTTCAGGAAGATCATGTCAAAGAGTAAAAATCAGGCCACCACTCTCCGGGGGGTCCCAAAGGTGTCCTTTGTCCACGGACTATTTTCCTCCTGCTCTCTGTGCAGGGCCTTCTCTCTTCTCAACGTGTCTTGTGAGGCTACTTGGATATTTTTCTGAAACTTTGAGATTGAGCTGAGAGCACGGTCGTGGTTTGATTAATGGACATGAGTTGCCCAGCACACACTCCAGCCCTGGGGCCAGGTGGGCACGGGGTGACTGTGCTATGGGCCCTGACCTGGGGGGCTCAGTAGCTTTTGGGCTGGGCTCAGGCGGCTCCCTTAGTTGCAAGATTCCCAACGCAATTCTGAGACAAACCCCAAAAATCTGAAACCTGAGGCTGGGGCTGGGCAAAAATTAGCCAGGCGTGGTGGTGCGTGCCTGTAATCCCAGCTACTCAGGAGGCTGAGGCAGGAGGATCACTTGAAGCTGGGAGGGGGAGGCTGCAGTGAGTGGAGATCACACCACTCTACTCCAGCCCTGGCGACAGAGCGAGACTCCATCTCAAAAAAAAAAAAAAAAAAAAAAGAATCCAGCACTTACAGTCCACAGGTTGGGGGTCACCAATTCCCTGTGGTGGCAGTCCTGAACCACATTCTGCTCTGGGCCTCTGTTCCCTTGTCTGTGAAATGGTAAGCACAGTCCGAGGGGGATTCCACCAGGCCCCGAGCACAGAGACTTTCCCTACAAGCCCCTCTTTAGCTTCCCTCTATGTCCTTTTCATATTTTACCCTCTCCTCATTTTCTTTTTCTGTCACCTTTCGTCACCCTAACCTGCAGCGCCATGGGCTTAGCTAACCAGTCCGGGGTGGCCAACCCTGGCCTGGATTCTTGATAAGAACCCTGTGGCTGTCCCAGGCGTGGGTCCTGCTTTATCCTGAAGCCACTGCAGAGCCTTCAGCTGCTCCTGCAAATCCAAAATGGACCTGTCCTGCCCACCCTCGACCTCACAAACCAGGGCCAGCATGCATGCTACCCGCTTTGCCCTCGAACCCCAGCTCATCCATCAAGACCCCCTGTAGGTATCCCTTCCCCAGGACCCACGCAATTTGTTCTCACTGCACAGTCCCCAGCCCTCTGTCCACTCTCATGAAATAGCCGTGTGGTTACTGTTGGACGTCTGCTCTCCTCTAGATTAACAGCTCCGTGAGGGTAGAGCCAGGTCTCTCTGGCTTACTGCTGTATCCCCTGCATCCGACACAGAGTTGTGTTAATAAACATGCATTTCATGAATTAACGGATGCATAGAAGCCCAGATGGGTGAATGAACACATGAGCCCAAACCCTTTCCACCCTGTGCTGCCCTTAGGTTATCCCAAAGGAGAAATGCCAAGTCAGGAGGATGTTGTGCTCAGTTAATGGGATGGGTTTTGTGGCACCTGGAGGTGACGTAACAGACACAGTGGACACCAGGAAACAGGGCGGGGTCTTTACCCACCACCGTTTCTTGAGATGAAAGGGCAGACTGAGATGCCAATTGCACAAAATCTTAACTCAAGAGGCTCCCACTCCTTGGATCTGTCTCCCTTGCATTTTTTTTTTTTTTTTTTTTTTT